GCTAGCGCCTGCCCTGCTGCGCGTGCGCCCTCGGCAAGAGGCTCGAGGAGGGGTGTCGAGATATATCGCCCCCGACGCCCTTCCGTGCCTCCCCTACATATCCCTTTCCCGCTCTCACCCATGCACTGTACTGAAGCCGTTTTGGCGCTGAGGATTTGAGAGTGAAACGGATCGGCATCGTTTATTGCTGTCAGGACTCCATGGCGTGGTCGCCATGGGGGGGCTTGCGTGGCAGCGTGCAGAGCAGGGCGAGCAGTTGTACGAGACCCTGCGCGACCTCGGCCGGTCGCGGTGCCACCAACCCTCAACGTAAACGGCGCGTGCCATCTTAGACCATGCGCCAGCCTGCAAATTCGACCGCGATATGCGACTATGAGCCAGTGGCATCCTCAGCGTAGCGAGGGAGCGGGCTTATAATTCTGTAGTCCGTATGTGGGAGGCCCTCAAAGGATCCCCCATGAACGGTGTCGACATCGCAACTGCGCGCCTGCCAACCTGCGTCTCCGGGCTCGGCGTGCGCCTCCCTGGCGAGCTGGAGGCTGGGCGGGCCCGGTCACACAAACTGATGGCATCGACCGGGCCCGCCGCTGGGCTCGCCCGCGCTCGTGCGGCACCACCCCATGCTTTGGTCGCCACCATCGTGACGCGCGCGGGGAGGGGGCCTGGCCCCTCTCGTCGGTGACGCCAGCTACCTAGCATGCAGGGCCGCCCACTCCGACAATGTGCGACGCCTCTCGCGCGCCCTCGGCCGCCTTCGACGCGGAGGCCGCGGGCGAAGCGGCAGCGCGGCTCCGCAGCTTCGGAGTCGACTTCGCCTCTGGGCGAGCCGTGGCTTTCACGGCCGCGGCAGAGGTGGAGTACTCGCAGGCCCTCTGGACCGCAGCCGCGCCGCTGCATGACGACTTCCGCTTCGTCGGCGGCATGGACGACTCGTCCCTGGCCACCGCGCCAGCCGTGCACCGCCCCTCGCCAGACCCCCGGGTGGCGCGCCCGGCGGCTCCCTTGGCGGCCCTGGCGGCCTCCCCGGCAGCCCCGGCAGCTTCCCCAGCGGCGGCGCTCGTGCCCGCGCGCGGGGCTCGGCCAGGTCGGGCCGGGGCTCGGCCAACTTTTCCGCGCGTGCGGCGCCGCCCCCTCGGCGGATTCCCCGGCCTGGCGCGGCGCGGGCGCGGCGCCGAGCCCGCGGCGGACGGGCTGAGAGGTGGCAGCCGGTGCATCGCCCGATCCGAGGCCAGGGGCTGATTTAGGGGGCCACATGCGAACCCTACCCCTGCCCGCCCTACCCCCCACGATTTCTAAGGGGGAGGGTAGGGTTCACTTCGCTCGGGAGCTCCCGAACGAACTGAACCCCACCATCCCCCTCAGGAGTCGTGGGGGGTAGGGGTAGGGTTCGCATGTGGCCCCCTATGATTACCGCGCGATCTGGCAGCGTTTCCGGGGCGGGCGGCTCGGGCGGTGCGGTCGCAGGCGCGCTTTCGGGCTCTGCGCCTGCGGTGCGGCCGAGTGGCACGCCGCAGGCCCGCGTGGTTTCGCCAGCGTCGTCCACCGCGGCGGCGCGCTGTAGGCGGCACGTGGCCCCCTCAGCTGTGCCAGGTCGGACCGGACGCGTCGATCCGCGAGGCTGTCATAGACTTCGTCGTGGGCTTCCCGACTACCGCTCAGAGCTGGTGGCTGGACTCAACTCCCAGACGCCTTTCTGCAGCTACCTGCCGGCGGCCAGACAGGTCGCCAGCGCAGCGGCGGCGGCGGGTGACCGTGTCAAGGCGGCTCGCTACGACGACGCAGTCCGCATCGTCGCGGTCGAGGTTGGCGGGCGCCTCAGCGACGGCGCGGCGACAGTCATCGCCGCGGTCGCTGCCACGTCGCAGCTGCGCGGGCGCCGATTGCAAGGCGGCCGCCGGCTTGCGACGGTGCGCTCGCTCACGGAGCGCATCGGCACGGAGACGCTGGCGGCGCTGGGGCAGTAAACGCACTCGCGCGTTCGTTCTGCGAGGCATGTCATTGGTCCGCGACCAGGAGGCGTCCTTATCATCATCGCCAGCAGCATCATCATACATATCATCACCATCACCATCACCATCACCATCACCATCACCATCACCATCACCATCACCATCACCATCATCACCATCACCATCATCACCATCATCATCAACATCATTAGCAACATCATCAGCAACATCATCATTATTATTATTACTTTGATCACCATCATCATTATCATCCTCATCATCATCGTCATCATCATTACTTCAGTCAGCACCACCACCGTTATCATCGTCCGCACCATTAGCATCATCGTCATCATCACCAACATCGCCATCATTCTCATCACCAGCACCATCACAACCACCATCACGAGTATCATCCTCATCCTCATCCTCATCCTCATCCTCATCCTCATCCTCATCCTCATCCTCATTATCATCACCATCACCATCACCATCACTGTATCCATCATCACCACCATCATCAACATCATCACCATCATCATCATCCCCATCCTCGTCCCCATCATCACCATCACCATTATCATCATCGTCGTCGTCCTCCTCTTCATCACCATCATCATCATCATCGTCATCGTCATCATCATTGCCACCATCATCATCATCATCATCATCATCATCATCATCATCATCATCATCATCATCATCATCTTCATTCTCAGCCCCTATCATCATCAACATCATCACCAGCACCATCATCATCATTATCCTCATCATCATCATCACTTCAGCCAGCATCATCATTATCGTCCTGACCGTCATCATCACCGTTATCATCACCAACATCGCCATCATTCTCATCACCAGCGGTATCACACCACCAACACCGTCAGCATCATCATCATCCTCATCATCCTCATCATCCTCATCATCCTCATCATCATCCTCATCATCCTCATCATCCTCATCCTCATCATCATCACCCTCATCATCATCATCCTCATCATCTGCTAGCTCTCTTTTGTCTTTGGGGGCTTGCTTGGGTCTGCGTATCGACGCGGAGTCACACACACGGTGTCGATCTATCTTGAGCTTCATCGGCTGGGCTTGTCCTTATCCTGCTGAGTTCCGTCGAGAGAGGCGCGGGCGCATGAGTTGTTGTTTGCCAGCCCCGGTTCTCGCTCGCACGGGATGTGTGGCTGCTCTTGAAGCTTTGGGCCCCCCTTCTCGAGTGTTTGACGCCCGATTTGGCTGAAGGCTGCCCGGTATCGTTGTGCATCCCAGTGTCCCGCTTTGGTTCGGTTGGAAGGAGCCTCAAAAGAGGATATCGAGATCGTTTTTGCCCGAGTTTTGAGCAGTCGCTTTATTCGCTCGCTTGCTAATCTGCTTGTAAGAGTTTTGAGCAGTCGCTTTTCTCGCTCGCTTGCTAATCTGCTTGTAAGCACACGGGGTTGGAGCCGAGCGTGCCCCGAGTGTGGCTCCGAATCTCGCATCTTGCTGTCCTCCGTCCTCGCTTGATACCATACGAGATTGTGACTCTGCGCGATGCTCTGTGATGCTTTCGTCCACTCGCATGATACCTTTCGTGTGGTTCGGATCTCTGCTGATGGCGGGCGCCGGTGGGTTTTTGCTGTTTCCTGGTTGCCTCCTCTGTTCCTTTGCTGTGCTGCTCCCGTTTGCCGTTTTGCCGGTTACCGCTTCTGTTTCCTCTGCCGTTTGGCCTTTTCCGTTTTCCTCGCTGTTTCCTTGCTGTTCCTTGCTGCTCCTTGCTTTCCTCGTTGCTCGTTTTGCCGTCCTTGCTTTCCTCTGCCGTTTCGCCGGTCCCCCGTTTCTGTTCTGCCGTGTGCCGTGCTCCTTCTCGCTCCCGGTGTCGGTCGGTTCCGTCGTGTCTCGTGTCGTTCGTTCGTGTCCTGTCGTTGGTCGTGTCCGCCTATATCCTTGCCCTGCCTATATCCTTCCCCTGCCCCTCCTGCCCATACCCTTCCCCTTTCTGCCCTTTCCCATCTCCTTCCCCATATATTCGTGTGCATCTTTCTCCCCCTGCCCATATCCTTCCCCTCCTGTTCTGCTTGCTTGCGCACTTCGGTTCCATGGGTCCTCTTCGAGTATCTTGCTCCCCGTTGTCCCTCTGTTCGTCCCCACCTGCCCTCTCCTGTTTGATGCTCCCCGTTTTTCCAAGCTTCCCTTTGCCCTTGGAGCAGGCGCGCATGGTCCTGTGCAGGCCAGCGCTGTTTTCGTTGCTGAATCGCAGTTCGTTCGGTCGAAGCGTTGCTGCACTCCGCAAGCCTCGCACGATGAGTCACATTCCCGACCCAGGTCCATGTGTGCGGCCCATGGGGGCGTTCTTTGGGATTCTTTCCTTCGTTGGATCGAGGACGTTGTTGAGCAGATGCGTGATTTGGAATAGACGGTTGAGGTTGCACTTATGTTCGAGACTAAACTGGATCCTGACTTGTTCTGTCTGCCAGATGATGATCATCTCTATCTCTCTCTCTCTCTCTCTCTTTCCGTCCTTGGGTGGGGACAAGCTCCCTTCTCACGGACCATGCGTTTACCGCATTCGTGTTCCCATCGCAGGGACATCAGGGTCAATGTGTGATCTACCCTCCCTTCTTCGCTAGCATCAGACACATCGCAAACGTCAGGCCAAGCATCTTCATGCTCCTGCTTGCGCTGGGCTGGCTGGCGTTCGATTTCCGCCAGTCCGCCCCAGGCAGATCCGACAGCGGCCGCGGCCAGAGGATGAGCTGGGTAGGCGTTTCGGACTCACCTCTCCCAGGCTTGCAAGTGAGGCCCTCGCTCATTGAAGTCCCTGTGGGTCTTTGGAGAGCCACCTCCTCTTCTTCTTCCACGTCTTCTTCTCCTTCTCCTTCTCCTTCTCCTTCTCCTTCTTCTTCTTCTACCTCGTCTTCTTCTTCTTCTTCTTTTTCTTATTCTTCCTCGTCTTCCTCCCCTCCACGTCTCCTCCTCCTCCTCCTCCTCCTCCTCCTCCTCCTCCTCCTCCTCCTCCTCCTCCTCCCCCCCTCCTCCCCCTCCCCGCCCGCCGCGCCTCAGGCTCCCGCGGCCCGAGGCGGAGTCCGTGCGCCGCATGATCCGCGACCTGATCCACGCGACCGACATCGGCATCCACGGCCAGGCCGGCGCCGACGCTGCGCGCCCCGTGCGGGCGCCTCTCGTGAGGGGGGGGGGGCCTCGCACGCGGCCCCTCCTCTTGGGGGGCGCTGGGGGCCTCGGCCCCTCCTCTTGGGGGGGGGGGGCCTCGCACGCGGCCCCGCCTCTCGGGGGCGCTGGGGGCGTCGGGTGCCCAGGGGGGGGGGGCCTCGCACACGGCCCCTCCTTTGGGAGGGGGGGGGGGGGCCTCGCACGCGGCCCCTCCTCCGAGGGGGCACGGGTGTAAGGGTAGCCTTAGGTCGGGCCTGTCCCCCCTACGGGGGGACTCTGGACGAAGAGATATATTATATTAATATAATATATTTATATATATAATATATATATATATATATCGGAGTAGGGCCCGGGGGCGGCTCGGGGCGCTGCCAGTAATCTCCATGGGGGGTGCAGGGCGCCCCAGGGAGCGTCCGAAGCGTCCCGGAGGGCCCCTGGGACCGCCAGGAACAGTTCGAGACCGCCCAAGACGGCGCGCGAGCGCTCCAAGACGCGCATAGATAGCCTCAGGAATAGCCAGGAAGGCCCGAAGACGTTCCAAGAGAGCTCCATGGGGCCCCGAAGGTATCCCAAGAAGCCTCCCAAGAGAGCCCCGACAAGCCAAACTCGTTGATTTTTATTGTTTTTTTTCAAGGTTTTTGGCCTTCTCGCTTTTTCGGGGTTCCGACGCTCCAAGACCGTCCAAGAGTCTCCCAAAACCGCTCCAAGACGGCCGAAGAGGCCCCCAAGACCGCTCCAAGACGGCCCAAGAGACCCCCAAAATCGTCCCAAGACGGCCCAGGAGAGCCCCAAGATGGCCCAGGAGCCGCCCAAGACGGTTCCGGGAGAGCCCCGACAGGGCTTCAAGACTGCCTAAGCGAGCCCAGCGGTTCCCAAGAGGGCCCCGCGAGGCCCCAAGAGGCCCCAAAGAGGCCCCCAAGAAGGACGTCGGCGCGCGGGGGTGCAGGGGAAGCGAGAAGAATGAAGGGGGCCCAGGACACACAAATAAATACACACAAATAAACATATTCACCATATTTTCCCATATTTTCTAGGTTCCTGTCTTCCCCTCCACTTCCCATGTTTTCCCACATTTTCTGGGGAATCGAGGATTAATTGTGTCTGTGTGTTTCTTTTCCTCCTGAGAGAAGAGCACAGGGTCTGTGAGATTCGACTCCCGTTGGCCTGCGAGCCGCAGCCCCCGACCCAGACCGAGGGAAGACGAGCCTGCGATCGTCGCTCCCGGCCGCCTTCGCGCTGCTGTGGGCTTGGCCTTCGGTAGTCTCGGCCTTGGGGGATGGTCGAGTGCTGATTGGGCAGCAGGTTGGTTGGCAGGGTGGTGAGGCCTTCGGCGCCATGGTGGCATTCTGAGGGCGCGATCGTTGGCTGGCGCTGTTATCGAGAAATGGTCGTTCCCTCGTGATGCGCCGGTGGTGATCGAATCACGGCTGGGCGTTGGCGGTGCGCAGCAGTGCACGCGCCTCGGCGCGGAGTCTGTGGAATCGCGCATGCCAGGCGGGACTCCAGGTTTTGGTCGTCGTATCCGCGAGCGCAGTCGCCGTGAATGTGGATGTCGCGGTGAGCTGTCGCGGGCGCCAGGCCTGCGCGATGCAGGCGACCCGCCTGGCCGCTGCCGAGATCACTCGAGCAGCCGGCTGTCCTCCTCCTCCTCCTCCGCCTCGTCCTCCTCCTCGTCCTCCTCATCTTCCTTCCCCTCCTCCTCCTTCCCCTCCTCCTCTCCTCCTCTTCGTTTCCAGATCTGCTTCTCGCCATCATCCTCCCTTTGTCTTCCTTCTACGATTACACATTCTGAATCCTCCTCTCCTCTCCCCCGACTCCGTCCGGAAGATAATCCGTTCTCGCCGGGTATTGCTCTTACACAGAAGATGACCCAAAGTGGTCGTTCCTATGTCTGTTTTAAAGCCAGTATCTGTCACATTTCCAATGGTTGCCGGTGTTTCAGAATGGTGCTCCCGCTGCAGTGTGGGCTTCATTTTCGGATCTGCGTTTTGCTCCCGTCGTTAATGTCGCCGCTCTCGCCCCAGCGTGGACCGCTTTTCTGGATCCGAGTACTTTTTCATCTTCTTTACCCTCTTCCGGCTTCCCCTGGTGCTCCTACACCTTCCGCTCCTTCCACTCCATTTCATGCTGGTACTTCTGCTGTTCGTCCTCGTTCTCCTCCTTTCACATCCTCCTTTTCCCTCTGCTTATCCTCCTGCTCACTCGCCACCTCCTCCTCGTACGTACGCAGTTTCCATTTTCGATCGCGCATAACACGACGAGGTCTTTTTGTAAGGAGTTCCAGTCCGTCTTTGACACGCGTCCGCGGATAGAGGACACATCAGCGCAATGGGAACGGACGGAAGGGATGGATAGGATGTCAGATGTGGCGCGAGCACACCTAGCTTGCCTCCTGCCTCTCTTCCCTGTCCTCCTCCACCTCCTACTCCCCCTCTCCTTCTCCTCATCTTCTTCTCCGCCCTCTCGTTGTCGTCGTCAAGCCAAGGTCCCTTGTGGCTCGAAAGCATCACACCGCATTTGTTTGCTTTTTTTGGGGGGGGGTGGGCGGATTTTCGGCCTCTGGAAGCCTTCTCTCGACCCAGAGGGATCAAAACCGACTCAGGATGAAACGCCAGTCTCGGGGGATGGGTCGAGAACTCCAAGGACCAGCGATTCGAACACATCAAGTGGTCGGAGGTCCGGGACGAACTTGCGATCCGATCCCACGGGGTTCCGATCCGTGCACGCCCCCCCCCCTGTTCTCTCGACCTCACAGCTCGCTTCCGGCCCGCCCGGCCCCCTGCAGGTGATGTCGGATTTCAAGGACGCGCACGGGGACTGGGACGAGCTCGACCCCGTTGCCTTTTTCAGGCGCCACGGGGGGACGCGCCGCTGGCCGGCACAGATGCTGGGAGGGCGGGCGGGGCGACGGACGGAAGCGGCAGCACGCCCGGTGAGTGGCAGGACTGGTCGGCACGGCTGCCGTCCTGGCGGCGGCGCACAGGGCGCCGAGGTCTCCTCCTCCTCCTCCCCCTCCTCCTCCTCCTCCCCCTCCTCCCCCTCCTCCTCCTCCTCCTCCTCCTCCTCCTCCTCCTCCTCCTCCCTCCTCCTCTCCCTCCTCCTCCTCCTCTCCTCCTCCTCCTCCTCCTCCTCCTCTTCCTCCCCCCCTGGGGGGGCGGGGGGCGGAGGAGGCCTCCTCCTCCTCGGCCGGTCGGGCGACGCAGGCCCTTTGGCAGGCCGCGGCCTGGCCAGGCACGGGCACGAGGCCGACGGGAGGGGCGGAGGCGAGGAGGGAGGAGGGAGGAGGGGGGAGGAGGAGGAGGAGGAGGAGGAGGAGGAGGAGGAGGAGGAGGAGGAGGGGGAGGGAGGAGGAGGAGAGGAGGAGGAGGAGGAGGAGGAGGAGGAGGAGGAGGAGGATGGGGGGAGGCTGGGTAGTCGAAGGCCAGACTGTCAGATTGGGTTGGGCCCCAAGGGCCAATCTGGCCCGGCCAAGCTGAACGATTTGGGTTATTCGCCAGACCGGATTCGCGTTGGCTCCCTCGCCAGGTTGCCCCCCGTTTGCCAGATGGGGCCTGCCAGATTGGCGCCAGATTGGCTTCGACTACCCAGAGCATCCAGTCGGGCCTGTCCCTCTGCAGGGGGAGTGTTCGAAACCAGTCCACAAAAGTGGTCCGGGGACGATCTTTTTTGGCTATTTTTGGTGCCTTCTGTTTTTTTTGTTGAGTGTTGCTGATTTTTCGCCCTCTACAGGGGGAATGCTCGAAACTGGTCCACAAAAAGGGTCTGGGGACGATGTCTTGGCCATTCTTGTGCCTTCTGGGGGTATTTTTTGAGTAGGTCTCAGAGAGAGAGCCAGCATCAAGTCGTCTCGAAGCAATGGTGGGCGTGCTGGGAATGCTGTGAAGCTTTCCAGCTCCCTCGGGGACCCAGGACGCCCAGAGTTGCCGAAAGGTTGTTCCAAGACGTTCAAGATGGCCTCAAAGTGAACCAAGAGGCTTCCAAAACGCCCCACGAGGCCTCCACCTCCCAGGGAGGCCCCAAGAGGCAAACATGATCGATGTCCCTTAGGTTTTTTTTTAGTCGAGAGCCAGCATCCAGTCGGGCCTGTCCCTCTACAGGGGGAATGCTCGAAACCAGTCCACAAAAAGGGTCTGGGGGCGAAGTTTGTTTTTGGCTATTTTTTGAGCATTACGGGGGTATGTTTTGAGTATTTCTAATGTTTCGCCCTCTACAGGGGGAATGTTCGAAATTGGTCCACAAAAAAGGGTCTGGGGACGATGTCTCGGCCATTCTTGTGCCTTCTGGGGGTACTTTTTTTGAGGTCGTCTCGAAGCAATGGTGGGCGTGCTGGGAGTGCTGTGAAGCTTTCCAGCTCCCTCGAGGACCCAGGACGCCCAGAGTTGCCGAGAGGTTGTTCAAAGACGTTCAGGATGGCCTCAAAGTGAAGCAAGAGGCTTCCAAAACGCCCCACGAGGCCTCCACCTCCCAGGGAGGCCCCAAGAGGCAAACATGATCGATGTCCCTTAGGTTTTTTTTTTTTAGTCGAGAGCTAGCATCAAGTCGGGCCTACAGGGGGAGTGTTCGAAACTGGTCCACAAGAATGGTCTGGGGACGATGTCCTGGCCACTTTTGTGCACTCTGGGGGTACTTTTTTGGAGTAGTTCTGATCTTTCGCCCCAGCTCCCCCTGTATAGGGGACAGGCCCGACCTAAAGCTGGCAGCAGCAGCAGCAGCGGCGGGGGCGGCCTGCCCGCGCTCGCGGGCCTGCGCCCCTGCGCCTCCTGGCGGCGTCTTCCGCCCTCGGGCGCTCGAGGAGGAGGAGGAGGAGGAGGAGGAGGAGGAGGAGGAAGAGGGAGGGTAGGAGGAGGAGGAGGAGGAGGAGGAGGAGGAGGAGGACGGGAGGGAGGGAGGGAGGGAGGGAGGAGGGAGGGAGGGAGGGAGGAGGAGGAGGAGGAGGAGGAGAAGGAGGAGGAGGAGGGAGGATGAGGGAGGAGGAGGAGGAGGAGGAGGAGGAGGAGAGGAGGAGGAGGAGGAGGAGGAGGAGGAGGAGGAAGGAGGAGGAGGGAGGAGAGGAGGAGGAGGAGGAGGAGGAGGAGGAGGAGGAGGAGGAGGAGGAGAGGAGGAGGAGGAGAGGAGGAGGAAGGAGGAGGAGGAGGAGGAGGAGGAGGAGGAGGAGAGGAGGAGGAGGAGGAGGAGAGGAGGAGGAGGAGGAGGAGGAGGAGGCGGAGGGAGGAGGAGGAGGAGGAGGAGGAGGAGAGGAGGAGGAGGAGGAGGAGGAGGAGGAGGAGGAGGAGGAGGAGGAGGAGGCGGAGGCGGAGGAGGAGGAGGAGGAGGAGGAGGAGGAGGAGGAGGAGGGAGGGGAGGAGGAGGAGAGGAGGAGGATGAGGAGGAGGAGGAGAGGGAGGAAGGGAAGGGTGGGAGGGAGGGAGGGGGGAGGAGGGAGGCGAGGAGGGAGGGAGGGAGGGAGGGGGGAGGGAGGGAGGGAGGGAGGAGGAGGAGGAGGAGGCCATCTGAGAGGAAAACACGAAGACGTTGTATTGATTTTTCCCAACCCTCCTGCGTTGGGTTCTCGTTTTGAATAAAGCACTGCTCGCGCGTCTCCTTCCCCGCCCCTCTCTTCCCCCTTGCCTTTTGCCTCGCTCGTCGCTGCGTGCCAGCTGGGGGGCTGCGATCTGTGAAACTGTCGCCACTTTCGAGGCCTGCTGGGGGGCCCAGCACAGTGGGTACACACGGCGGATTGAAATTGCACCTCGCCATCCCTGGGTGGCTGCGATCTGTGAAATTGTCGCCACTTTCGAGGCCTGCTGGGGGGCCCAGTACACACGGCGGATTCAAATTGCACCTCGCCATCCCTGGGGGGCTGCGATCTGTGAAACTGTCGCCACTTTCGAGGCCTGCTGGGGGGCCCAGCACAGTGGGTAGTCACAGCGGATTCAAATTAGACCTCGCCATCCCTGGGGGGCTGCGATCTGTGAAACTGTCGCCACTTTCGAGGGCTGCTGGGGGGCCCAGCACAGTGGGTACACACGGCGGATTGAAATGGGACCTCGCCATCCCTGGGGGGCTGCGATCTGTGAAACTGTCGCCGCTTTCGAGAGCTGCTGAGGGGCCCAGCACAGTGGGTACTCACCGCAGACTCAAATGGGACCTCGCCATCCCTGGGGGGCTGCGATCTGTGAAACTGTCGCCACTTTCGAGGCTTGCTGGGGGGCCCAGCACAGTGGGTACACACGGCGGATTGAAATTGCACCTCGCCATCCCTGGGGGGCTGCGATCTGTGAAACTGTCGCCACTTTCGCGGCCTGCTGGGGGGCCCAGCTCAGTGGGTACCCACCGCATATTCACATTAGACCTCGCCATCCCTGGGGGGCTGCGATCTGTGAAACTGTCGCCGCTTTCGAGGCCTGCTGGGGGGCCCAGCACAGTAGGTACACACGGCGGATTCAAATTGGACCTCGCCATCCCTGGGGGGCTGCGATCTGTGAAATTGTCGCCGCTTTCGAGGCCTGCTGGGGGGCCCAGCACAGTGGGTAGTCACAGCGGATTCAAATTAGACCTCGCCATCCCTGGGGGGCTGTGATCTGTGAAACTGTCGCCACTTTCGAGGCCTGCTGGGGGGCCCAGCACAGTGGGTACTCACCGCAGACTCAAATTAGACCTCGCCATCCCTGGGGGGCTGCGATCGTGAAACTGTCGCACTTTCGAGGCCTTCTGAAGGGGCCAGCACAGTGGGTAGTCACAGCGGATTTCAAATTAGACCTCGCCATCCCTGGGGGGCTGCGATCTGTGAAAAAAACTGTCGCCAATTTTCGAGGCCTGGCTGGGGGGGCCCAGCACAGGAGCGGTACCACTCGCAGAGTCAAATTAGACCTCGCCATCCCTGGAGGGGCTGCGATCTGGGAAACATGTCGCCACTTCGAGCCTTCTGACGGCCCCAACACAGTGTACTTACGCAAACTCATATTAGACCTCGCCATCCCAGGGGGACTGCGATCTGTGAAACTGTCGCCACTTCGAGGCCTGCTGGGGGGCCAGACACCAACGCAAACGACACGCCGATCAGGATCGGACCTCGCCCTCCCTGGGGGCTGCATTTGTGAAACTGTCGCCACTTGCGAGGCCTGATGGGGGGCCCAGAACAGTGGGTACCCACCGGCAGATGCAAATTAGACATCGCCATCCCTGGGGGGTCTGCGATCTGTGAAAACTGGTCGCCACTTTCGAGGCCTGCTGGGGGGCCCAGCACACTGGGTACTCTCCGCAGATTCAAATTAGACCTCGCCATCCCTGGGGGGCTGCGATCTGTGAAACTGTCGCCACTTTCGAGGTCTGCTGGGGGGCCCAGCACAGTGGGTACTTACCGCAAACTCAAATTAGACCTCGCAATCCCTGGGGGGCTGCGATCTGTGAAACTGTCGCCACTTTCGAGGGCTGCTGAGGGGCCCAGCACAGTGGGTACTCACCGCAGACTCAGATTATACCTCGCCATCCCTGGGGGGGCTGCGATCTGTGAAACTGTCGCCACTTTTGAGGGCTGCTGAGGGGCCCAGCACAGTGGGTACCCACCGCAGACTCAAATTAGACCTCGCCATCCCTGGGGGGCTGCGATCTGTGAAACTGTCGCCACTTTCGAGGGCTGCTGATGGGGCCCAGCACAGTGGGTACTTACCGCAAACTCAGATTAGACCTCGCAATCCCTGGGGGGCTGCGATATGTGAAACTGTCGCCACTTTCGAGGGCTGCTGAGGGGCCCAGCACAGTGGGCTTCCCGCACGTCTTTCTCCTGCTCTTCGTTCCTGACTCCCCATGTCCTCTTCGAGCCTGTAGTTGTCGCCCCTCGTTCTTGTACGGTTCTCCTGCGCATCATTCCA